TCATGACTGGATGAAGAGAGGGTTAAAACATGGGATGATAGAAATGTGCGGCTGGGTCTGGTGTGTTTAGATTGGATGAAAGCAATGACGCGGATCACAACATCATCCATATGAAAATGCATGCAAGTGTTTTGTTTCAAGTCCTGATCATCTTCGGATTTGATCATGTAACATGTATATTTACATAAAATCCCCGGTCCTCATGAGCCATCAACCGGCCATGATCGCCGATGAGTATTAGTATAAGGTATATGTGTAATATGTGTAAGAAGAATCGCAAAGCTTTCTTGCCTTTTCAGCTTTTGCTTGTTTTCTTCTTCCTGTCTTTCCCTTTATTTCCCTTCCCTTCCCAAGTCTCCCACTTTCTAGAGCGCGTTTGGATATCAAACCAGCAACCCCTTTGCTTGAACCTTCCCAGTTCTAAATAGATAGACAACCGGACCCCCTGGTTTCACTTACTCCATAAAGTCATGACAAAGTGTACGTGAAATCATCGCGGTCTCCAACTCTCTATGCCTGACCCAAGCCAGCCTAATTAATGTATAGTGGTATAATGCGAATTCCTCCTTTCCTTTTTCCATTATCAAGACGTTTAAGCCTTGATGGAGTATGTCCTCTTGAACATGTCATCGACGTTCTCGAGGTAGTAAGTGCCGGGCTCGAGAGTAGAGACCTCACCCTTGGGGGTAAAGTTCTTCTGGAGATGGGCCTGCTTGCGGAGGTCGCACATCTGTACAAACAATCGTTAGCATCGTGTTTGGCAATTTCCGATTGAGTCAGTCGGGGGTACTCACAGCATCGTAAGACTCGGGGGGAACGGCCCGGCGGGCAGCGAGTCTGGCGGGGAGGTTGAGGGTCTTGGCGAGCTTCTCGGTGCTGCCAGTGACGCGGAAAGAGCAGAAAGAGGCAGCGAGACCGGAGCCGTAGCTGAAGAGGCCTATCCTCTTGCCCTCAAGCTGGGCGCTGTCGACGTGGCCGAGGAGGGAGGCGAGACCGCCCCAAACGCTACCGCAGTACATGTTACCGCAGAGGGTAGGGACCTGGATGGCGGGGTTGACGCGCTCCTGGAAGCGCTTCTTGGTGAGAGCCATGAAGGTCTTCTCAACGACCTTGTCGGTCAGGGACTTCTTGTAGTCCATGTCGCGAACCTCGGGAGGAACGTCGGCAAAGACGGGGCTTTCGGGGTTGGCGAGGTAGTCGTGGTAGAGGAGGCGAGCATACGACTTCTGGACGAGCTTGCAGGTAGGGGCGTGGAAGGCAAGGTAGTCGAAGCGGTCCAAGGGGGTCTTGGTGCTGTCCTCGGAGTGGCCGTTGACACCCTTGGTGAGGAGCTTCTCGCGCTGGTTGTAGGCGCGGTAGGCGGCGTCAAGAGCCTCGGTGTAGCAGTTGAGGGAGTAGTGGCCATCGACGTAGGGGTACTCGCTGGTCAGGTCGGGCTTGTAGAAATCGTAGGCATGGGCCATGTAGCTGCCGCGGAGACCGGGCTCGACGGCAATAGGGGCGTCAGGGCCAACAAGTATGGCGACGCAGCCGGCACCACCGGTAGGGCGGGCATTGCCCTTGGCGTAGAGGGCGATATCACCAGCGACGACAATGGCGTCACGGCCGTCCCAGGCGGAGGACTCGATCCAGTTGACGGAGTTGAAGAAAGCGTTGGTACCACCGTAGCAGGCGTTGATGGTATCAACACCCTCAATGTTGGTGTTCTCGCCGAAAAGCTGCATCAGGACGGACTTGACGGACTTGGACTTGTCGAGAAGGGTCTCGGTACCGACCTCGAGGCGGCCGATCGTGTTGGTGTCGATCTCATAGTTCTTGAGGAGGCGGGAGACGGCAGTCAGGGCGAGAGAGTAGATGTCTGCAGGCACATGGCAAATCAGCCCCTGAAAAGGCGAATGGGAGGAAGGGGAGAACTCACCCTCACGGTCGTCGCAGAAGGCCATCTTGGTCTGGCCGAGACCGATTGTGTACTTGCCCGCGCTAACGCCATCGAACTCTTCGAGCTTGGATTGCTCCACATACTAAAGTACAGATGAAAGCTGTCAGTTTGATGTGTCTGGGTGCGAAGCAAAAGCGCAGCGAGCAAAAGCCGGCAGAAAGCAGGATATGTGCTGCTGCGGTAGGCGAGAAGAAGCATGTTGCGCCTCTGAGGGTATCTCCTGTATCTTCAGGTTTGGAGGTGCAAAAAAGGGGGAGGGGCGTCATCTGGAGCTAACGCGCGTACGCAGCTAGCATGGCGTGTTGGACGTACCTGGCTGGGGAAGTAGATTTCGATGGCCTTGATGCCAATGTTCTGGGGACGGGTAGCCATCTTTGTGTGTGGGTGATTAACGGAAGATTGAGGGAAGTGAGGAAGGGGGAAGTAACGGAGGAGGAGAGGAAGAGGAGAGAAGGTCAAGAATATGGAGTAAAAATGAAGGAAGAGAAGATTGTCGTGTCCCGTTCAGGGGAGGGGTTGTTTTGAGAGATTGGGGGTCCTGGCGTAGAAAAGTGCCTGTGCTCCTGTCTACGGAGGGGCAAGTTTGGGGTTAGCGCGTGTCCCGTCGTCCTATCTTTTGGCAGAGGCCATCACATCCCGTCCAACGGAACGCAACTCTGGCCCCTTTTTCACCGCTGTTTGGCGCCGTTGTCACCAGCGAGCTCTCTTTCTTCATTCTAGAGGTCCAGAAGGCTGGGGTCACCTTTTGGGTGGCCCTAGAATGCCAGGTGGTTCCATTCCCAGCAGCAAAAAATGTGACCAAGGGACCTGCCAATCCTGCCATCACGCCAGTCCACTTAGGCTAGTGCGCCTGCCAATGCTGCCGCCCCTGAATTGCCCCTTTCCCATGTCTCTCTTGACAACAACAAATCTGGGCTATCAGACTTTGGCCAAGCCGCCGCAACCACGCCCAACAAAAACGCATGGACCAAGCTTCTCCGGCGCCGATATTGGACTGGCTGGTGGACAGGGGGGGAAGGGTGATGTGCAATGATTATTGCCGGGTTTGATATACACACCTTTTTGGTTGATATCTCGATCAAGGATCAAGATGTGATGTTTCTTTCTGCTAGTCTCGGGGACCAAAACTGAAGGGGCATGGATGGAAAGAAGAAATAAGAAAGAAGAGATTCAAAGCCAGACGAAGATGGGGGGCATACGAGGTTCATATAGCATTTGTTGTTCCTAGAGTGCGGCAGGGAACAATGCGTAAAAAGGGTCCAGACAATACTAATCGAGCGTGGCTCCCGACCAGGCCAAGGCCTTCTACTGCACGACCAGCGATACTCAAGCAGGTCGGGACAAGGGTCTCGATGGGTCGCAGATGGATTTGAAGGACGATGTCGGAGAATCCTCATCAAGGGGGTAGCAGCTTGGGACAAGATGCGCGAATCGCAGCACAAGCTGGAAGGAAAGCCATCACCATCTACCTAGTCAGGTAGACTGTCTCAGTTGGAGAAGTCGCAGGAAGCAAGCACAGGCTATTAATCCAACTGCCACTTATACAGATACATACTTGCACCTACCTACAGATGCAATTCAGACAGAGACCTCCATCAGTCTGAACTCCAAGTTTGAAGAACGTCAAGAAAAGACGTGGCGGGTCGGACGGAACAAAAGTTGAACCCCACAAAAAATGGTAGATCAAGCCATGCGAACGTCCATGCCATGCCAGCTTCCACCTGGTGGGCTGGCAGGCTGGTACGAGCTGGTGAGGTGGACCTAGCACGGCGGACAAAGGCGACTCGCCTCCGCAAATTCGTCAGTTTGCGAGACACGATCCCCCGTCCCCGTTTTCGCCTATCTCAGGCATTGTGTTCCTGAATGGGATAGGTAGGGGTAGTTAAGCTACTTACCTACCTTGCCGTGCTCGTGCTGCCGTCCATGCCCCTTGTTGCTGCTCCTCGATGCAGACCGCCTTCTACATATGTAAAAAGTCAACATGTAAACCAAAAACATCCAAACACTCGTCCCGTAGCTTCTCTTTTTCCCTTCCCCGAATTCCCCCTCCTCCGATCCGATATCTTCCTTGATCTTGTTGGCCCCTGAAACAACGAGGACTTCCATGGTGCGCTTATTTCGGGGACACTCTCAGCTCTCTTGCTTCGGAGCTCCACCGGCGAGTTATCAGATCTTTCTCTCCTTGCTCGTCCCATCAAAAGTGGGCATTCCTGCGTCAGAAAACGAGAAGAGTGGAAAGAAAGTGGAGATTTTGCACACGTTATGGACGTACAGTACGGATGAAAGATCTGATAACAGTCTATCGTCGTCGCGTGGGACGGATCTCGGTGGAGTTCTTCGGCGGCTCGGTTCGTTCGTTCGAAACAAGAGATGAGATGAACATTGTCTGTGGCTTGGATAGTTCGGTTGAGTCAGTTTTGTAAAACATGGAACTGAGCAAGGTGATCCTCTGATTTTCTTGCAAGAAGCTCAGTGTATTTGTGATAATCTCCGAGCTTTCTCATGTCTCCCAAGGTCGGACATCTAGTGTATCATTCAGCTTTTCGAAACAGCAAGCGTGCAAATGCGGCATAAGTGGACATGATTGGTGAAAGCTTGTCACACCGCCCGCTGCAGGAACCGTTCGACAGGCACACAAGACAATTCCGTGAACGGGACGGCAGTGTCACCCATCTTCATCAGGTATGTGTACACTCGTATGTAACAGGTATTACTAGCCACTTGATATTCATCCGCGAGCCATGTCTTCCAACGGCGTGGCTGAAGCTGTTGTGAGCCTGTGTCTCCTAGAATGCAGCGATACACCAAAAACAGCATCCTTTTGGAGTGCGCTGGTTGCGAAAAAGAGATATCAAGCACTGCATGAGCGTATGAATAAGTCTTTTCTTGGTAGTAGATTCTTCGATGATAATGAAAAGTGCAAAAGTTTGGAGGGTTGTTCGAAATCGCAGATGTTCGGACCAGATGTTGGGATGGAAATTTGCAGCGAGGGGGAATTTGGAGATGTCTATGCCTATATAGGATTAGGTCTCAGTTCAAGTGGATAACAAAGTCCCGTTGTGGTCTAGTAGTAGAGTGGCTACCACGTGGGGTTGTGAACCGCAAGGTCATCCGTTCGATTCAGGCCGAGAGCAACTTTTCGGTGTTTTTCCCCAACGCCCAGCTATGGGAGAGCTGTCCGGGCAAGTCCTGGGCACTCTCCCATGGTGAGTTTACTACAGCGAATATCTACCAGCGAATATCTCTACACATAGCGAACTGGGTTTTCCAAGTGGTTTCCCGGCTTTTTTTCTTCCTTTCTTTTTTATTATTACTACCAGCGTCGGTTGCTTTTCACACAGCGTCCGTATTCTTTCTTTTATCAATCCTTAGCGTTCATTTCCCGGCGCCACCGACTTTAACCTAGCTACTGCTCTCCCTATTATAAAATTACTGCGTATCACTCTCCTCATCGCACGGCAAATTCCACTGTAGGGTGTCATTCGGACTCTGTCGCTATTAGTCATTACAAATTCTTACTCACATGCTCAGAGCTTCCCCAGCCAGGGGTATCGCCGCTTCTCGGCCCACCCATATCGGCCGGCTATATCCAAGTGTATATGTGCGGCTTCCTCCATTTATAGACTTGGTTGAGAGCCTCGCCGAGATTTGGTAGTCACATCGTGAACGAAGATGGGTCCCCTTCGAGGAGGACGATAATGAAGAGCAAATGAAGGAGCATCGCAAATCGGAGGAGAAGTGGTTTGTTAATACTATGAATAATTCGCTATGATGGTGAATAACATTTGAACTATTCGATGAACATGAATGCGGATATCTACCTATGTCATTCACCCGTTTAGACTGCAAACAAAGACATCCCAGAATGGGATTTCTCAACTCAACCAGTCGCGACGGTGAACACTTATGTACACCTTACCCACCCTAGTACTGCTCCAGCCTGCCACCCCTCCTAGAAAAAAAAAGAACAATGAACCCGCCATGCCATAATTCTACCCGAGAACAACAGTGTGTGTAAACGATCACATTAACTGCTCACATCCACCCTATCCTTTCCTACTGATGATCCTCAGAACGGTGGATTCTCAGCAAAGTATCTAACCACCAAGTACTTGGGATCAAACGTCAGCTCCTGCTTCATCGCCACATCCAACAACCAATCCGACACCACGATCCTCGGTTCCATGTTCCCCTTCTTCGCCATCTCCTCGAACTTCGGCCACAGCGCCTTCTCAGCCGCGCTCGGAGACGTCAACAAGTATACCGGCTCAGGTGGTGCCCCTCCGTCTTCCTCGGGCGTAGTAGGCTTGATGGCCGACCCTCCGCGACCACGGAAAACCTTGAAGATGGCTCCGTTGGCCTCGGCGATGGTCTGGTAGCTCTGCACCCCGTTCTTGATCTCGGCCGTGCAGAAGACGGGCACGCCCCAGAGCAGACGGCTGCGGTTGGCGCGGGCGCGCGAGATGGCCGTCTCGAGGGTGACGCCGAAACGGGCTTCGTTTTCCTTGTCGACGAGCAGGTAGTCCTTGATGGGCAGGACCTTGCCGGCTTCGATGCAGGCGGTGACGAAGTCGGACGAGATGACCTCTGGGCCGCGAGCCAGACAACGGAGAAACTTCATAGTTCTAACCATACGCGGCGCGGCGAGGTAGTCGCAGGGGACGTTATCTTGAACAATTTGTATGCCCATGGCGCGCAGTTTTCGCTGGTGGTTGTCAAGTTAGCTGGCAATGTTATGCATGCGTCAGGGCAAAGTAGCCATCACTCACCCTATCTGCCTCCTCTCGCATTTTGTCATTTACCCATCGCTTGTAGCCTGTCAAGCAGATGCGCATCTCTACTGGGCCTGACGAGACCCTAGCCTTCTTGGCCGGGCGCTTCTGGCCCGTCTCGTCCTCCTCGTCCTCGCCTTCTGCTGGACTTGACTCCTTCACGCTCCGATCCCGGTCGATCTGGTCTGCTGCCCGCTTGCCGCCCCATGGACCGTCCTTTCCTGTGCGCTTCTTTTCCTTCTCATACAAAGCGATATCCGGTGCCAGCTGGTGCAGCTTAGACAGCGCCTTATCCTTGGCGCTACGGCTACTGCTGGACATCACTGATGGCGTATGGTTTTCCTTTCCATTTCGTGTAGTCCGGGTGGTCTTTGCTGGCGTTTGGAGATTTTGCTTATTCTGCGTCCCTCGAGGTGGCCTGCTGGCTGCCTTTGATCCGAGTGGGCTCGATTCGCTTGCGATGCCGGCATCGGTCTCTGCCAAGTTGGAAGCATACACATTCTTGTTTGCAGCGTCATTCGCCTTGCGCCTTTTCTTCGCTGCCGTGCTAAGAGCTTCTTCACCACCGGGGAAGTATACCTCGCGCAGCTTCTGTTCGTCAAAAAAGGTGCTGCCAATGATCTCGCCTAGATTTGTCCTAGGCGGGAAGTGTTGGTACCTGGGGTTAGAAAATGTCTGAGCTTCGCACTTGGCGTAGCTATCTTCGATCCAGAGATGGTTGACAATCTCAATGTTCCATTCCTTGGCCGCCTCACACTTCTCACCGTTCATCCGAGCCGTGATCAGGTGGGTATTGTCGGCTTTCATGGTCTTGGTGTATGTTGCGCCCGCCGCAGTAATGAGGTTTTCGAGGTATACTCGAGCATCACCTCCGTAGTTCGATAGTGTGATCTTCATATTCTGGAACCCGGGGATTCCGGCTTGTGGTATCGGGTAGTGCAGAAGTCGTCGTGTAGGCCTCGTCCATTCATTATGTACGATGAGATAGTAGAGCCAGGCAAGGTTACCCACGTTCTTCCCTTGTTGTGCCGCCCGTTGATAGTCGTCCCCGTCGCGATATTGGCACACATACATATCGCATGCATCGACATCATCCACGACCTCGCCGTCGCTTTGCTCGATCAGAGTGTTTAAGATGTTTCGCAGCCGGGCGTTGATGGGGAGATCTTGAGATATCATGACCTTCTTCTGAGCGAAGACGACAACCTTTTCCCTCTCCTTCCCCGGCATTACAGCACTAGGTATAACGGACGTGGCACCTTCCACGGCCTCGCTCGTTGGGATTTTGATATCTTCGTCGGGCCCTGTGCGCAAGATCTCGGGGTCGGGGAGCATATAAGGTGCTTCGCTGATTCGCCTCCCTAGCCTAAAGCAGTCATCGAACCAGTGCGGTAGGACAATCTTGCACTTGGGGTTCTTCTTCTGGGCCTCCTGGCACTTTTCGTGGTCCATGGACAGGGCGCAAATATGGGTGGTTTGACGCGTCAAGTCCTTTGATTCCATACCACCAAGCGCCATGGTCGCACCAATAATGGTCTCCTTGTCGGAGTCGGGGATATCGGCACAGGTGAGGATGACATTGGAGAAGATCATTCTAGGATCGGGGGAGTACGGCCTCACTTGGGCGACCTTGTTCCGTGCTAGCGTGATTTTGATCCAGTTGGTGTTGACGACGGGGATCATGTATTGGAGGGCATCGTGATACTGCTCGAAGTCGATCGTGTTGGCGACAATGTGGGTCGCGTGTTCTAAAGGGATTTTGCCGTCTTTCGTTGGCTCGAGGACTTGGGCGCCATGCTTTTGTACAAGCTTGGACAGCTACAAATTGCCGAGATGTTAGGGGATCTGTAAACCACGCATCAGAGCAAGTAGAAAAGACATACATCTGAGATCAGACTAGCCGACAGTGACTTGCTTTGCACAAAGTAGATGAAGCAACTGTCCAGCAGACCCGGCTTCTCGTTTTCTCCGGCCATTTTGGTGGTGTAAACGCGGTTTCGCTCGGTTAATTACAGGTTATACAGGAAGCGTCGAAGCGCCGAGTCTTGAGTCGACTCTAATCGATTTCCATGGGCAAATGGTGGCCAGAAGTGAGGGTGATGGTTTGTGAAAAGCGACAGGCAGATGCGGATTGGCGATGCGACCAGTGAGTGGATGTTGATTGGAAGAACGTTCAATTTGTCTTTTGTTTGTCTGCCACTGGCAAATTGGGGCCACTGCAGGGCGACGCGATCGGGAAAAGCCAGTGTGGGGCCATGACGCGAGCCAGGCACGCTGTATCACATGACCGCGGAATAACCGTCTCCTACAGTTTAATGGTACCTACTTACTCTACATTCCCCCGCTTTCCATGTTTAAGTGTTCGGGATTGGGGATGCACTCTTGATAACCTCGACAAGTCACGAACTGCCAGAAAACACCCAAAAGCTGCCTTAATGGTTCTTCGTTGAATTTAGAAGGGAAGAGGTTGATTGATCACCTTTCTTGCGTGCAGGGTTTTCATACCAGCCGTTTTCGATGTGAGGCACTGTCTTATGGCCATTGGTACGTTCCCGACTTTAGTGTACACGCGGACTACGATAAGTTCCATGCCTGTTTGATGGATTGCCGATCACCGCTACAATTCACTACAGATGAGCGATAGTCGCATAGTATCTCCCTCGTTCAATTGAAACATGGTTCTCAATCATATAAACAACGAGTTGTCGAAAACTGATAGTGTACGGTATCACGCAATGGAATCCGGGGGTCGATTTCCGGGGCTTCGCTACCACAACAGCCGGCGCCACGATGGGTTATGGTTGAGCCGACTGTTACGGGACGAACTGCCGAGGCACAAAGCCCACGATCGATCGACAACCCCGGACTTTAGTCAACACTTCCTTTATTTGATCTCCCCGTGAACCCCATTTGATCAGAAGCTCCTCAACCCGACTCGTCAGTTTCTCGATCATATCAGAGTTGTCGCTTGTCTCATCCGATTGGCACGTCCATCACTCGAGATATACACTCAACACAAACGACTACACGCCTGAAGTGAGTGTGACACAACAACTGTCAACATATCAACTTGTACACCAACATCAGGGAATATCGGAAGAAAGAACACTCATCCCCACCCACCAGCATAATGGCCTCCTCCTTCATCATCAAGGAGCACAAAGTCGAGGGTCAACATATCCGTGATTATGCCCATGCCACCGCCAACTCCCAAGAAGAGATCCTGTATCTCTCCGTAAAGCAATACATTCCCAAGAGCAACCCCAATCCTCAACCAGGCGACCTGACCATCATCGGTGCTCACGCCAATGGCTTCGTCAAGGTCAGTTACCCTCACAAACACTTACCCACAACTTGTGTTC